GCCCAGAAGTAGTATACTTGAGTTATACAGGAGTTCTATATTTAGTTTGTGAGGACTCTCCAAGCTGATTTCTATAGTGGCCGCACCCATTCATACTCCCACCCACAGTCTTCTTCCCTTGCATCCTTGCTGGCATTTGTACTGATTTGTTTTCTTGATAGCACTCATTCTGATTGAAGTGAGACAAAATTTCAAAGTTGTTTTAAATTTGCATTTACATGGTGACTAAGGATGATAAACACTTTTAAAATATTTATTAATCACTTGTTTTAAGAACTTGCTGCCCAATTTTGTAGGCTATTTTTAATCAGATTGTTTATATCTCTGATTGTTTTATGTGGGAATTTACTGACAGGAACTTCCCTCTAAGACCTTGCAGTAGACTGAATTAAAAAGAGGCTGTTCTTAGGCTCACACATTTGAAAATTTAGTCCCCCGTTGGTGGCACTGTTTGAGAAGGTTATTGAATCGTTATGAGGTCCAGCCTTGTTTGAGCACACCCCTTGGGGTGGGCTTTGAGCATTTGTGGCCTCACCACAATTTGTGACCTCTTAGCTTCTTGCTTCTTCCCCTTCTGCCACACCTCACCTGCCACCATGGATGCTCCCCTGGAAGCCAAAATAAACTCTACTGTATGTCACTATCAGCCATGGTATTTTAACATAACAACAAAAATGTAACCGATTTACTTTTGATTTTTTTAGATTTAGGACTGTGAGTTGGTACTGTGGCAGACAATATATAGAAGCAGAAGTTAGGAGGTGACAATGCAGCAGGATCTTCAGGCCAACCCCTCTGAAGAGGAGGTCCTTATGGGTCATTATAAGGTCCTCAAGACCCTTGGCACAGGAAACTTTGCTCAGGTGAAACTGGCCCTCCACCTCCACACACAGGTACAGGTTGCTCTGAAGACCCTGGAAAAGGATAAAAAGAATGCTGCTCTGATTGAAAATGAGCTAGAGATCATGAAATTCCTAGACCACCCTAATATAATCAAGTTGTTCCATGTCATGGAAACCACTGAACACATCTACATGGTTCTGGAATATGCCTCTGGGGGTGATCTGGCTGGTCGTATCTTACAAGTGAACTACATGCAGGAAGGGGAGGCCCGGCACATTTTCACACAGATGGTATGTGCAGTTAACTACTGCCATGAGAATGGCATTGCACACAGGGACATCAAACCGGAAAACATTCTTATGGATGCAAATAGAGACATCCGACTGTGTGACTTTGGCCTGGCCATCAAAGTTACCACTGAGCAGACGTCGACAGTGTTCTGTGGCACCCTTCCATACTGCGCTCCAGAGCTTTTTAGCAGCCAAGGCTATGATCCCAGGGCACTTGACATCTGGAGCATGGGTGTGGTACTGTACATCATGGTGACAAAGCACTACCCATTCAAAGCAACCACATATGAAAAGATGAAGGAGGAAATGCAGGAGCCACACTACTACATCCCACCGAAGGTCCCAGCACTTATTGCCAACCTCATTGTGAAGCTTTTCACTGTTGATCCTGGGCGGAGGCCCAAGATCCGTGACATTATGGAGCATCAGTGGCTTAAGGGCAGTGAAGAGCTTTCAAAACTAACCCTGTCCCGAGAAACACACCCCAGCAAGCCCAACCCCAGTATTATGACAGCCATGTGGGGCATGGGCTATAACCCCAAGGACATTAGAGACTCCTTACATGAGAAAAAATTTAATAGCGTCATGGCAACCTACTTGATTTTAAAACATCAGTCATCCTGGGTGGATAACACTAACCATAGTGCTAAGTTCCTGCAGCCTGATATTGCCACAGCACCTGCGGATCCTCCCACCTTCCATCTTGTCCTAAAGAGGATAGGAAGTGAGCCTGACCATCATTCCCCTACCCAAGCAGCAGAATGTCAGTTTCATGATGATGACAAGCTTGTAAGGAAGGAAGACAGAAAGAATCACAGCATGCCCGCCATCCTGTGCTGCCTGCAGAAGAGCCTGCCTCACCCCACAGGTGCCCAGTGTGGTCCCGCGCAGCATGACTATGAGCAGCTCCCGGGCAGCAGCCCACAGAAGAGAAGCATGGCTTCTGAGGGCCTGCCCTGCGGTCCTGAACAGCATGCCCAGAAGCAGGTCCCGGGCAGCAGGCTGCAGAAGAGAAGCACAACTTCCAAAAGTGTGTCCTGCGGTCCCGCGCAGCATGATGTGCAGGTCCTGGGCAATAGCCTGCGGAAGAAAAACATGGTTTCCAAGAGTGTGTCCTGCGGTCCCGCGCAGCATACCCAGAAGCAGCTCCCGGGCAGCAGGCTGCAGAAGAGAAGCATGGTTTCCAAGAGTGTGTCCTGTGGTCCCATGAAGCATGATGAGCAGCTCCTGGGCACGGTTTCCAAGGGTGTGTCCTGTGGTTCTTTGAAGCATGATATGCAGCTCCTGGGCAGCAGACTGCGGAAGAGAAGCATGGCTTCCAAGAGTGTGTCCTGTGGTCCCGTGCAGCATGCTCAGGAGAAGCTCCCCGGCAGCAGGTTGCGGAAGAGAAGCACAGCTTCCAAGAGTGTGTCCTGTGGTCCCGTGCAGCATGATGTGCAGCTCCTGGGCAGCAGCCCACAGAAGAAAAACATGGTCTCCAAGGGTGTATTCTGTGGTCCCGTGCAGCATGATATGCAGCTCCTGAGCAGCAGACTGCAGAAGAGAAGCATGGTTTCCAAGAGTGTGTCCTGTGGTCCCATGCAGCATTCCCAGGAGAAGCTCCTGAGCAGTAGCCAGCAGAAGAAAAACATGGTTTCCAAGAGTGTGTCCTGTGGTCCCGTGCAGCATGATGAGCAGCTCCTGGGCACAGTTTCCAAGGGTGTGTCCTGTGGTTCCTTGCAGCATGATATGCAGCTCCTGGGCAGCAGACTGCGGAAGAGAAGCGTGGCTTCCAAGAGTGTGTCCTGTGGTCCCGTGCAGCATGCCCAGGAGAAGTTCCCCGGCAGCAGGTTGCAGAAGAGAAGCACAGCTTCCAAGAGTGTGTCCTGTGGTCCCGTGCAGCATGGTGAGAAGCTCCTGGGCACAGCTTCCAAGAGTGTGTCCTGTGGTCCCATGAAGCATGATGTGCAGCTCCTGGGCAGCAGCCCACAGAAGAAAAACATGGTTTCCAAGGGCGTGTCCTGTGGTCCCGTGTATCATGATGAGCAGCTCCTGGGTATTCTTTCTGAAAACCGCATCTTGCAGGTGGAGCCCCAGAGTGAAAATTCCCCTAAGAGCAGCTCATCCCTCCCGGATACACTATCTATAAGGAGCTCCAGCACAGACACTCATCACAAGGACAGGAGCTTTTCCCCACAGGAAACATCTGAATCAAACCTCACCAGTGCCCAACCCCAGAGAGGGACCGCAGCCTCTCCTCACAACCTGTGGAGTGGATGGAAGCGGGTGAAGAGGAGAATGGCTAAGTGCTTAAGACGATTATGCTGCTGTTTGCCAGCCCAAAGGAGAAGCTGCACTTCCCAGAGGAGAGTGGCTCCACAGGAATGAGTGGACAGTGGAGTCACATAAAACCATGTGGAGGGGAAACAGCAGAGTCACGGGAAACCAGGTAAGGGAGACCAAGATGCACTTCTGCATTTCATTTAATGTACGCATTTTCTAGCATCCTTTGGCAACTGACGCATGATTTATTGTACCTGCTTCTGGGGCAAGCACCGTAGCATATGTACCACATCCTGTGTGGCCAGCAAGTGAGGGCCCATCCTCACACTGCTCTCCTTGTGTGGAACCTGAGAACGTGGACTGGAAAGTAGACAACAGAGAGTGGTGACTAGAAGCTGGGAGAGATGGCAACTGGGGCGGTGTTGGCTAAAGGGAGCAAAGATCTAGAAGCGGGGAGTCAGGTGGGGCCTATGTACAGCAGGGCCGGTGCAGTCAACAGTAAGCTCTGTAGGTTTCAGCCACAAGACAGTGCTTTTCATGTGCCTTTGTGCTTTTAAGTGATGGCCCTCTATGGATGCTGAACTGCTGGATGGGGAACTGCCTGGGGTGGACTGCGACAGTTGCAGTAGGAGGCCAGCAGGACATCTAGGTGACAGAGTGTCCACATGCCCTGAGGAGATACACCACAAACTACCACAGGCTTCTCTCGAGAAAACCCCAGCCAAGAGGAACCTGGGCCAGGATAGCATTCTACAGTGTCCTGCTTTGAGTGGGACTGAGCTGAAGGCCTGCCTGAAGCTACCTGGGGTAAGAAGTGCCTGTAGCATTGTAGCAATGAGGCTAGGTGATGGGACACCTCCCCTGCCCTGCTCATGTGTCTTTCTCTCACGTGTGAGAGGAGATGACTTAGAACATTGGAGGAGCAGTCTTCTCATCAGAACTGTTACTACCTAGCCTACCCCAATTGTCCCAACGTAAGCCTGATTGAGTCCGCACCCTAAGCAGTCTTTTGGGACACGCTGCTGACACTTATCAGGGTATACAGCAGCTCTTCAAGGACAGTTTCAGAGACCTCCGGACACAGGTTGTGAGTTCTTTGCACAGACTTTGGCAAGGCTCTTGTTCCTTCAGGGTCTCAGTTCGTCCTCGTAAATTGGCTGGACAACTGTTTTACTCATAGTCATGCCAAGGTAGAGTCACCTTTGCGGGGTGCTGGTCTGAAACTGCCATACAGTAGATGCTTCATCTATTGGTGCTGCAGGATTTGGATTCCAGTGTGACCAGGTTGGTGGATGGCTTTGATGGAGTAAGCATAGGGAGGTAGGATGATGTGTGGGTAGGAGGCAGTGGGATTCCTGTGTTAGGATGCATCTTTTCAGGATCCTGTGGCCCAGTGCCAAGCAAAGCCTGGGAAAACCTGAGCTTGACAGTTGACAGTGTCCCCAAAGAGTGCTGTATGTCCTCACTCTTCATCTCCCCTGGCAGGTGTTGGTATTGCTACCTTCCCCGTGGCCCTGCCTCCCTTCCAGGTTAGAGGACCCAGTCTCATGGCAGTGAGTCATAAGGGGAAGGAGACATGGACTTTAATCAGAGTCAACCCTGTCTTCTGTCTGACAGGACAGTGCCAGCAAGCTGGAGAAGAATGTGTGTCACTTTGGCTGAGTTGCTGAGATGGTGTTCCACTTCGGAGGGTGAGTGGGCCTTGCTAGGCCTAGGGCATAGCAACTTCAGATGCTGTTGCTAGTAGCTTTGGAGTGAATTTGAACCCAGTACCCATATTTAGGGTCAGGCCTAGACAGAAACATCGATCATCATCAGGCTGGGGCTTTTAGCCAGCACTGTCAGTTTGTGTGTCCATACAGGTTGTCTGCATGTTCTCCTGGGCAATCTTGGTGGTAGAGCGTGACTAGCAGCATGTCGGCCTGCACATTGCCTTGTCCTGCCATGATGATAATGGACTGAACCTCTGAAAAGTAAGACACCCCAATGAAATGTTTTCCTTTATAAGAGCTGCTGTGGTCATGGTGTCTCTTCACAGTGATAGGAACTCTGAGACATGTGCCCAGACCATCATGGAGAAGGAGCGTGTGTAAAAGGTGGACAGCATCTTCTCACACCCGTATAACTTGACAGCCAAGTTGTGTCACTGCGTGAGGACCAGCCTCCAGCAGCACAGGGCTTGACAGGGAGCCTGTGGAGTCGGGGGACCTTTCTATCTGAGGGAGTTAAACAACTCTCAGGAGCCAGTGAGGGGGGCTAAACTTAACTCTTTGGGGCCAGTGAAACAGAAACACAGAAACATCACACACACACACACACACACACACACACACACACACACACACACCTCCAACAGGTCAGGATCTCACCTAGGGTGCTGATGAATGGCAAGCCTTCAGCAGGTCAGAGAAACTGAAGAGGAGATGCAGAGCAGGTGAACTACTGGACAAGCAGACACAAGATAACTTTTCTGAGGGCCAAAGCTTAGTTCATTTTATTATTCTTATTGTTGCCTGTACTCTATTCTCCTGATGTTTCTGTCTATCTTGATGTTTTTCTTCTAACTTTTCCTTCTTCATCTTTCCTGGTGTTTCCCTTCTCTCATACTTGATGTTTTCCTTCTAACTAACCTTATTTTTATTCTTTACAGCTTGTATACCCTAGCAAAATCTTTCAAGCAATAAAAAATTACAATGTAATTACATTGTATTTTTCAAGTGAATGGCTACAATGAATACAAGTAAAAACCGATTAAATGTTTTAAATATTACAGGTGAAAAACAAGTTGTCCCAAGAAACCACATATGTGCATACCCAAGCAACTTGTTATAGATTAACAGAATTTAAGCAAGCCAGGTGTTTTTCTCAGCCTGTTCTTTTACTGGTAGGCTGCACTTTGCAGTTACAAAGAAAGGACCAATTATATTATTGTTTATCTCAAACAGTAATCTTTTAAGGAATCTTAGAAGAATCACAAATCTAGACTCATATATGAAAAAGAATCAGTCATCTCTACTTTAAATCTTCAGGGTGCATACACATTTATTTACCATATTTTTATACTAGGAAGCTGAGTGCAGAAATGGATACAAGGACTTAATCATCACCTTTGGTCACCAACCCATCCTAGCAATAAAACACACCAGCTAATGATAATTGGGCTGCTTTGTTCCTGTTCCCTGACCTTAATGAGTTCCTCGCTCAACCATGCCTTTCTAAACTTTAGATTGTTCGTTGGATATTTTTACCTCAAAGCTATTAACAAAATCATCTTAATATAACCTTACATCTTTTTCAAAGCTTTGCTTCAGCTATGACACACTCCAAAACATGTGAACGCATCTCCCAACATTAAGATTGAAAGAGTTTAAGCAAGCTGGGCTACTAGATCCCAATTGTTTTTCTTTATCATTAACCTAAGCCACAGTCTATACAGCTCCTCAGTAGAAACTCATGTGGCCTGGCTGTGTGACACTCCCTTGTTCATTTTTTGTCCTCTGCAACCTCTGCTTTATCAGAGGCAGGGACAACATTTTATCCTACCTTTACCTATGTTAATCTCTCCCTAAACTAACCTGTATCCTAATCTCTTACTGTATTTATTAAAAACCCTCAACCATCAAAATCCTATTTAAACTACCACTATTCTTACATAAAAATCATTGCTTCAGTTAAACAGCTTAGGAGAAAATAATCTTTATAATAGTACATAGATAAAAATGCCCATTAGAATTGGATATTTTCAAGACTACATTAATGGCAGTGGGGATCTTCCCACGCCCATTCACACCATGCCAGATACAGGAGGAAAATGGCAGCAGCAAACATGTAAAGGCACAGCAGTAACAAGAGACACGCTGGGGCCGAAGCCCTTGGGGCCTTGCCTGTCCGAGACTCTCCCATCAGAACTTTGCTTCCTGGTGGGCCAGTCCCTTGAAGTCAGTTGCCCCCTGCCACTCCTCTGATGTGGTCACTGGCAGATCTGTCACTGGTCAGTCACTTCGTCTGCACTGGGTTCATGATCATGAGTATGGGGTGAACCTCACACAGCCTGGTCCTGAGATGCCCAGCAGTTTGCTCATGGGGCCAGAGTGAGTCCAGGTCACTGGATGACTACTGAGCTAGGCCCTTGGACCAGCTGCACTCTACCGAAGTCAGGGCCTGGGCAATGGCAGGTGGCACCACTAACCAGGTGGTCTTTTCTGAAAGAGGCTAGAGACCACAGAGGTAGCTGGATAGCTCTGCAGGGGTATAATCATGTTCTTGCTGCTGGCCATGCCTCCCCAAACTACCCCACATGTAGTGTGGGGCAACAGGTCCTACTGGACAACCCTATCCCCATCATACCACATCACCCATACACCACTAGGTATCTGGTCCCAATAAGCAACTCCCTCAGTTCATACCTAATTCTGGTATTGGCTATGCTGTATACTCCTTAGCCTCTGCTCTAAATGCAATACTAGGCATTGGGCCCTGCAAGATACCTCCCTACCCCATATACACTGCTGACGCCCATGCTGGAAGCCCTTTTGCCACCGTTACAAACCACAGAAATTACTTCATTTTTGGTCCTGACACCCATCCCTACTGATGTCATACCCACAGTGCTCGATGTCAGGTTCTGCTGGGCTCCTTCCACCATCCCACACAAAGTGTTACCCGTCAGGCTCTTCTGGAAACATACTCCAGCCCTGTTGCCACCCAAAATGCACTTCTGCTTTTTATCCATGCTGGACAGTGGCCTGGCCTGGCCTAGTAGTGTGTGTGGTGCAGCAGAAAGGAGGGATGTTGAGCAAGGCCTGATTCCTAGAAGTTGATATGTGGCTGTGCCTGGGGTTCCAGTAGAGCCTGAAAAATAGCCGTGTAGTCGGCCCCAAGTAGGGGTTTGGGTGGGGTGGTGTTGATACCCAGAGTCTAATACCTATCACACAGTGTGCGATGGAGGAGTGTTGGTACCCAGCTGGGTCTGATACATAGCACTGTGTGTGCACTTGCCGTGGAAGTGAGGGCCATATTGAGCATGACCTGCTAACTAGCAGCCTATGTAGGATGGTGGCCCAGGGGCGGGGTGGTAGGTATCTAGTAGGACCTCATATGCACCACTATATTTGCAGAGGCCACTGTGTCCAGAAGAACTCGATAGCTAGCAGCGCATGTCAGTAGGAAGTGGTGGGGGAGGGGAGGACAGGGACAGAGTCCAGAGTTTGAGAAATGAAGCAGTGTATCTATGGTGGTGTGGAGTGTCCAGAAACTCATGCGGAATGCTGGTGTCTGGGATGGCAGGTGTTCATCAGTGCTGTCCATGGGACAGGGGAGATGTCCAGCAATGCCTGACATCCAGGGTGTGTGTGAGTCAGAGGTAGGGGAGATAGCAGGCCTGTATTGTATTGTATTGTATTGTATCGTATCGTATCGTATCGTATCGTATCGTATCGTATCGTATCGTATCGTACCGTATTGTATTTGGAGTAGAGAAAGGCTGGAGTATCTGGCATGGTCTCATACCATGTAGTGTAGATACAGCAGTCACAGAGGATTGGCCAGTCTCATACCTAGCAGTATATGTAGGGGAGTTGTGGGGCTGGAGAGTTGTCCAGTAATGTCTGATACCTTACACTGTGTATGGGATGGTAGCCTGAGGGTTGTCTAGCAAGACCTAATGCCTACAACTTTGGATGGTACTCTTCCCTCAGGAACACGCAGGTGCCTCCTTTGTCTGGTGTGAGGATGTCTGGTGCTCTGTGATTTTGCAATGCCACCTGAGCCACTGTGGTAATCTGGCACGAGAGAGAGAGAGAGCAGGGACTCCACCGAGTCCTCGATGGCCTTCTAGAGTTGTCCAGATAGCTCCATTGCTGCAGTAATTGAGTGTGCTCTGGTGCCTGTGCTTAACCCAGAGAGCACCGGGGCCAAGGCCAATAAGATGCTCATCATGGCCAGGAGAAAGACCTCAGAGGCCCAAGTTATGCTTAAAAGCAGAAAAGAAATTAATGTGGAAATATTAAGCTACACAAAATAGGGATGTCCTATGATATTTTATTGAGGGAGAAATCACTGACCTGAGAAGCCAAGAAAGGCGAGAACCAAAGGTCCGCACGCTGCTCTCTGGGCCGCAACTGGAACCCCCTAGCTCTTTTATCCCCCGTACATTCTATGTACCTGTGAACACACCCAAACAGGTGTGGTCAATGCTACAGGTAATGGATCTCTTTTCACTTGTAACTAATGTCCTGAATCCATGATCCCAACTTCCAGGACCTGCTTTTAGGAGGAGCTCACAGAGATGGACCAGGGGACGTTTGTGGATTACCAGGCATCACTCAGGGATCCAAGAAAACTGGCATCAGTGGTTATAGCCCAAACAGTAACACGAAAGATGGAGTGAACTCTGGCGTATTCTGTCTGGCTGTAACCACACCACCGTGTCCCACACTGCAGCTTGTGCCCTTCTTGCTCAGGGGGTTCTCCCTCGGCACACTATGGACAAGAACCTGCATTCACAGTCATTCCAGTGGACGGCAAGGAGACAGCAATCAGTCCTTCACGACTCGTCCCTCTGCTTCTGTTTATCAGGAATCTAATCCTGTCCTCGGTGTGAGGAGGGCTGCACCACTGTTTAGTGACAAAGCTTCTCCCTGCAGCCCTCACAGGCTTTTACAAGCACACTCAGAACATGACCAGGGATATGACTTTAGAGTGGATTAAGACAACGGGCATGATGGACTATGGTATTAAAGGAGGCCCAAGCGCTGTCTTAACCACTACAGTTGATCAAATGAGGTCAAAGGCCAGAGGTTTGCACAAAAAGCATCTGCAGTGGTGTCTCAGCTGAGGATTCGGGAAATGGCCCAAAGTCTTGGCCCAGATTCAATGCAGGCTGAAGGGGCCTAAGAAGACCCCAGGAAGAGTCTTGATAGCCAGTCCTCACTGAAGTTACCCTGTGCCCTGAGCGTCCATGATTCCTACATCAGGTCAATGCTCAATTTATGAGCAGACCCAGCCACCAGCTGGTGTCTCGGTTATTTGGTCATAATAGAGCCGCCTGGTCAAGAGTCCACAAACAAGGGCCTCTCACCAATCCTCCCAGTGCACACACCAGAAGAACCTCCTTAACTGTGAATTATGACAAATGGGATGCTTTACTAGCTGCACTTGATGGTGTAGTGCAGTCCTGTGTAGGAGGAACCGGGGGTTGAAGGCTGAGGCTGGAGGACTGTCTGTCAGTAGAACTCTTCTTGGGCCACGGTGAATCCAGAGTCAGCCTGTGCAACACAGCATAACCCTACGTAAACCAAAATGTATAAATAGGGCTGGAGAAGCAGCTCGGTGGTAGAATGTTTGCCTAGCCTGTAGGGAGGGGCTCTTAGTTTCAATCCCAGCAAAGGGAATAGATTGCAGCAGGGCTTCCACAGGAGCAGGGCCCTCCTGTCACCATCATACGGCACGGTGTTCACATGATCACAAGGTCGCGCAGGGTTGATGCCTTGAGCTGCACGTTTCCTAGCTGGCTGTGGCTTTTCCCCTGGAAGTCAGATCTTGCCTTCGAACCACACACTCCAAAGGGCCCGGCTAGCTGAGCACTTGGTCAGTCTTTGCACCTGTGTTATGAAGGAAGCAGAGAAGGCTCCCTAAGAAACCTGCAGTCTACAAGCTAATTCTAGAGACTGGATACATCGTTCAGAGAGCTGAAGACTAGAAACAGCTCTGTCTGGAGGTCTGTAAGGACAGCTGGTGGTGGCATACTCTAGGAAGACCCACTAGCCCAGAGAGGCTTTGTGAGCAGTGACCACAGGGACTCCTGGAGCTCCCACTCTGATTCTCCCAGGAGCAGAGGCCAGACCCAGGGAAGACGGGGACCTGCACCTTGGCACTGGAGACCCAGCATCTCTGGGTCTGTTTCTCCAACTCTCCTTGCCCCATGGTGGCCGTGCAGGTGTCAGACCCAAAGCAGCAGCCCTGAGGTGTTTTCAACAAAACTATCTTCACTCACTGTAACTCACCAACTCCTAAGGTGGTACACTTTTCTCCCCGTGGCCCTCCCTTCCAGCTCCACCCTTAGACCAGCTGGTGAGCGAAGTCTTTGGCTTTTGGGAACAAGGACAGAGACATTTTGAGGGGACATCACAAGGATGACTCGGTGCTTCTTCCTCTTATGGGTTCCTAGTGACTCACGTGTCCTCTTGGGATGATGTGAGGGATAAGCTGCCTCCATGGCTGAGGGTGGTCCCTCAGGTCCCCCAGGACCAGGCAGACCCTCAGCTAGACCCTTTAGCCTTGGGAGCACAGCCTCCAAGGAGAGTGTGCTTCTGTAATTTGGCAGCTGGAGGGCAATCAGGACTGGTGTCCATTCTCTGGGGATATGAGGGCTGGGAAGTACCTTCAGGGTCAGGGAAATCTGTGTGGTGATTCAAGTGGAAGGACAGTCTCCAGGGCACCAGGACGGGCTGTGGGGCCCCTCCTCCTGCTGAGTGTACCTGCCCATGGCTCATGTAACTCCTCAGTACGAGAGCGTTCCATGAGACCCACTGAATATCTGGGCCCTGAGTTTTGGGAGTGGTTTCCTCTGCTCAGCAGAGCAGTAGGGACCTGAGTGGTTCTTAGTAAGGGTGACTCTTGACTCCCGGGAGGATAGCAGAAGGCTTAGGGCCAAGCAACTCTACTTTGGTGGCCTCATGACACTGAGGATCTGAGGAATCCGTCTGTGAGTGTGAGGGACAGGCAGGACTGTGCACATACTCTTCTGTGGGAACTGTAATCCTGTCTGCACCTTGGGACAAGCATCCCAGAAGCAGGAGGCTGCTTGACATGATCCAGGATTGGGAGCTGCTGCCACGTCCTGCTCCTTTCCCAAGCTAGGTGACACTTTTCTAGCAGCTGCAGAAAGAAATTGGCGCATGGGACTCACCCCCAGGCGGGGAGGACCAGAACGTTTGGGTGCAGGTATGGAAGGGGGTAGCCAATTAGCAGGGTTTGAGTGACTGATGGAGTCTGTGCTGCCTTGTTGAACTTCTTCCAGCTCAACACAGACCCTCGTCTTCTCCACACCCACATTCCCTAGAAGGTCCAGCCTTAGGAAGAATTCCTTGACTCCCTGTTGGGGAGGGTGACTCAGGCTCACAAGGGCCTTGCCAGCAGGAGCTCTCCTTCCGTCCCCTAATTCACTTGGACCTTCACCCTGGGGCCGTCAGTATGGCTTCTGACCGTCTCCTGCCCACCACTGACACCTGCCCAGGTGCCCTGGTGTCTCTTATTTACTCCTCACCCCTTCCCTATTCTACCTGGTGTCCCACCATCTCTTATTTATCTTCCGCCTCTTTCCTTGCTGTACCTGCTTGTCTGCCTGGTCAACACTGACTCCTTCCTCGTGTTTCAGCATCTCCGTTAGATCCATGTCCGTCTCTGACTTAGGGGAGAGGATTTCAGCCACAAGTTGGGGGCTTGTGATGGCCTCCACCTGTGAACAGAAGAAAAAGGACATAAGTGCTGAGGGCAGGAAACCTCCAAGGAGTCAGCAAGCAAAGCCCAGTACTTCCTGGTTCATATTATGTTTCTGACAAGTCATGGTGACAGCTATTATGCACACACATGTGGTCACACGCACACTCCCACGCGCACACACAGAGTTAAACAGCTAAGGAAGCAGGTTTAGTTAAGGAGACCTGGGATACCATCCCAGAACCAGGCCACCCCAGGGCTCCAGCTGCAGCTCCCTTGTTCATGTGTCTAACACAGTCTTCTTGGGAGCACAGCTCATCAGCATAGCGTGGGATCCTGGATCTGGGTACAATCACCCCTCTTCTTGCTCTGGCTGAGTGCTTTCCTTTCTTCTCTTTTCCTCAGGCTCTCCTGCAGAAGACTCTGAAGCCCCTCCTCATTCTCAAACTCCATGAACTTAGGAACAAGGGAAGCTCAGTGTGAGGTGAGATTGAGGTTATGCCCCGCCCCCAGCATGCAGCCCCGGAAGACTGCTAAGGGCAGGCATGTGAAGCAAGGTCCTGGGGTGGGCTGGTCCAGTCCCAAAGAGGCTGCTGATATAAGGACAAAGCCACAGTTCTGAAATCCCTTGGTATCTACAGGAATCCTGTTCAGTCGAGGTGGCCCAGAAAGAGCCTTCAAACTATCCTTTGTCCAGACCCATCCTGACTTCACCCAGAACTACACAGAAGATCTGACTGACAAGATGGTCAGAGATATAACTGATGGAGTGCATCCGGGATCTTGGACCAGATCCAGAGATGCTGAAGCTGAGGCTGGGAGAGCTGGAATGACCTGGGAGATAAGGGCCCAGGAGATGTCAGGAGAACGTAGAAGGGAAGCGGAGAGGTGTGGCTGCTTCCCTCTGGGAGCTGTTTGTGGGCTTGTGTGCCTGACAGCATCACATGGAGCAAAGGCAGAAAGATCAGAGACATGTTCTCAGAAGTGTACCTTCCTCTCTGTGTGATCTTTTCGTTTTCCTCAACTTTAGGAATATAACTGGGTGGGTTTGCTGAACAGCAGTGGTTCACTTTCAAGACACCAACTCCCCTGTCAAGGGGTTGGCACAGCCTGGCAGATTGCTCCCGTTGCATAAGTCCTAGTGTTGGAGACCACATGGAGTTGAGGAGACCACTGGAGACCCTGTTCAGAACCATGCGAAGACTGTGGTTGCAATCATTTAGACTACCTGGCCATGTAGCTGAACTGATTCACAAATTGGCCAGAGTGGTCTGGGACCTAGGGTTAATGATGGGACAAGGGTACAAATGCCTGCAGAAAATAAAAATGGAGTGACAACCCCAAAGATTGCTCCAGAGAGAGTCTTGTCACCTGGCTGTCTTAAGAGAAACTCCCCAGAGCAATGGCATATGAACATGCACAAGTCTGACACTTCCCCTCCATGAGCTGTGACTACCTCATTTTCTCCACACTCACAATAGCTCTCTTTCAAAATGGTGGCTGGTGCTCGCTCTCAGGACGTGTCAGAGTAAGCCCTGCCCCTCCCACATTTGAGGCTCAGGCAGCAGGCACATGGCATGACTGAGAGGGAGAAGGGCAGAGGTGTTCATGCTCTCCCAAGATGTCCCTAGGGTTGGATTTGGGTTGCACTAAACCATCTCTGGGTAGCTATCTCCTCCATCCTAGTAGATCTCAGTGAACCTTCACAAAGAAACTCAATCAGAGTATGAACACTGAGTACTTGGTATCAACTCACAGACAGTAGGCAAGGCTGGAGTGAGTTTGGCTGATTAATGGACTAATTACAGGTTGATCCCTCAGAACACCCAGGGGAACAGGGACTTGACCTAGCCCCTCAAATAAGTTATATGACACCTAGACTTCCAGGGCCCAGGTAGCCTGAGGCTGCCACAGTAAGTATAGGACCAGTAAAGGGACTCATAATCCATACTGTGTCCCCTGAGCTCCCATGCCCTTTGGAGAATATTTTGTACCACACTAGTATCTCAGGGTCTTTAACCATTTTGCTGTAAGATACCATGACCTGACTTGGCACCCAGAGGTAGAGAAGCACTGCCCTACCTCATTCCAGAGACTGGAGCTTCATGGTTCAATACTAGTGGTGGGTGTAGAAGAAACCAGGAGTAGAGCTGCAGCAGATGAAGACCCTGCTGAGAGGGACCCTGTAAGAGTGGACATTAGGAAGATTCTCTCTCTCCCTCTTCCCTCCCTCCCTCCCGCTCCCACCACGTGTACGTGTACGTGTGCGTGTGTATGTGCGTGTGTGCATGCGTGGGTGCGTGCGTGTGTGCGTGTGTGTGTGTGTGTGTGTGCGTGTGTGTTTGTGTGTGTGTGTTTGTTTAAGGGTCAGCTCTTGTGAATCTCAGGGTTCCCTCAAACTCACTGCACAGTTGAGGATGCCCTTGAACTTCTGACCCTTCACTCCACCTCTCAACTGCCAGGTTACAGGTATTTGTTATGACATCCTGGTGTATGTAGTGTTGGCTGTGTCTCCTGAATGCTAGACAAGTACTCTACAGGTGCTCTTCACCCCCAGCCTCACATGGCACCTTCTCGAGCTGTCTGTCACAAGATCGTGTTGTGATGGAAGTCCTTGCAGCATGGAAGGCAGGGGGTCGAGCTGCTGGTGAGCTCCAGTCTCTCTCTACTGCCAAGCTCGGTAAGCTCTTGGTAAGCTCTGCAGCCCCAGAATTGGAAAGGATTTGCACTGAACCCCACAGATGCTGCCTACTTCCTGTGGACCTGGGCTTCTGGTACTTCTCCCTTTTGTTGAGGGCTCACTAGAGCTGAGGTACTGGGTTCTCTTGGCTATACAAGGACTCTGTGCCTGTCACATCGGCAGGAAGGGCAGCTCAGGGCATTTTTATTCTGTTGGGCTAAAGTCCTGGGCCAACTAAATAGGCGATATCAGACTCCAGTCATTGGATGTGTGGACTTTGGGACAGATGTGGTCTGGGCTTCAGACAACAGGGCTAGGTTCACAGAAGGGATGAAGCTGGGTGGGTGGCAGGGAATCAGTCTCCTGATAACTTTGGGGTAGGCAGGAAGGAGGCTGGGTGTTAAACCAGAAGCAGGGGTCTTAGTTCTGACTTAAGGCCCAGCTTTCAGCTGGGCATCAGTTGAAATGTCTGATTTTGTCTCCTACACCCAGGAGTCTCCCGACCGCTGGTCCATTCTGTTGGCCTGGGCCACCAAATCTCTCTGGCCACTCCTCCCTCGGGCTCATTTCTTCACCAAACCCCAGGAGTGTGGCTGCTCTAACCCCAGGAGGAGGCCTTTGTCCTCTGCACATAGAGGCCTGGTGTAAAGCCCTGCTTCCTCAAGTGCCTGACACTCTGCATGGCAGGAGCTGCCCGACAGGACAGCCATACCTCACCTTCTTCCCAGGTGGAGCTCCAAACTCCCCAGTATTACCTTACTGTGCCCCACATTTCTCTGCTTTGTAATGACCCAAAGTTGGGGTCTCCCTGTGATGACCCATTTCTTCATTTGTGGGATCTGATGGATGACCTCAAGAGGAGGCTAGGCTTTGAGGGGCAGAGGAAACCCACAGGCATATTGGCCACTGTAGCACCAAGCTATTATTGGCTGGGTTTTCTATACTCCGTTAAGGAGTGGCAGTGGACGGACCAATAAGCTGAGGAAAAGGTAACTGCAGCTTGGAGAAGGGGCCCGAGGAAAGAATGTCCAGGAGCCTAATGATCCACCTGGGACCAGCTGGGCACTGTGACAACAAATGGCAGCCAGAGCCAGGTTTGTGCGGTCAGGATGCCACCAGGCTGGGATGAGTCGGCAGCTCTCAGAGGCTGAGTGGGACACAGATCCCATCTGTTAAGTAGACAACCCTGGTAAAGATGCTGGGAGGCAGGATACTGGACGCCCAGGCCCCATCTGGCCAGGCATTTAATGCGGTCGAGAGAGGAGTTAAGGTGGGTTCTCATTGGGGTCAGGGCCCATACATCCTCATCCTATCAAGTGTTAAGGGTGGTTTGGTGGGCTGCTGATACTCGGACCTTAGCTTAGCTTGCTGTGCCGGATGCCTAGAAGGTCAGTGCTCCCCACCATGTGCTCCACCTTAATGAATGTTGTCCTGGGCTCAGAGCAACTGCACGAGTGACTATGGACTAAGACTACAAAAACTGTGAGCTCAAACCAACCCTCCTTGCAAGTTGATCTTCTCAGGGACTTATTCTCAGAGCTAACAGGCACCTCCTTGCGTCTGGTCAAGCTGCTTGGCGGTGAATGATCATGAAGAACTTGTTAAGTCCACGCATGAGTGTGAGAAGGAAGTTTCTTTGTTTCTGATCAGGCCTGGGGGAGCTTCCAATGTTCATGGCTCTGTTCCCACAGCTCCCACCTGGAGGGCTTTCACCCATTACACATGCCAATTCAGCCAGCTCTTCTGGAAGTCCTTGAAACTCCTCTGCCTTCCTCCCAGACTGCTGCCTCCCTCTGTGCTGACCTTTGGTCTGGGCCAAACAGGCAGTGTCCTACAACATGCCCCTCTACTGACCTGTGCTAGGGACTTCTTCCCCCAAATGTGTAGAGACTGAGGCCACACCCAACCATCTCCTTCCAAACAGCTTGAGGATCTTCCTAAGGCCAGGGCCAAGGCTGTATAGATGCTGCCCCTAGGAGGTACCAGGGAAATGTGACTATGGGGCTGATATACAGTGAGGCTGGGGAGGCACTGAGCTGGGCAAGTAGCCAAGGAGGTTCCCAGCCCTGTGAACTGCACAGCTAAGTCCCAGAAGAAACAGCCTACGTCAATGCTGGAGCCACAAAGGGACTTGTTGGGGGCATGCTGTTCCCTGCCCCCTCCTCAGGCTTCCCATAGCCTCCTGCAGCAGGGTGTGTCTCTTCTCACATGGCACTCTGGGCTTCTGTTGCTCTTTGTCCTGTGGACATTTCCACAGCTTCCTGTGCATGCCACATCAGAAGTTCACAGCAGCCCTAGTCTCTGACTTGCTGTTGAGCATGTCAGAGGCAGGAGACTGTCCTTGCCTTAGAGACTATCACCCTCAGTCCCATGTAGCCCAAGGAACTGCTGGGTGTTATAGTCCCTTGAGTTCTAGACACCATGCTGGAAAAGCCACCCACAGAATCCATGAGGAAGTCAACCCTAGCATGGAAGCCTGGAGGTTGCCACAGCTTGTGAAGAGGCTGAACTTTCTCCCAACCAAGCCACAGACAGCATTCAGTAGTCTTTAATCTTAGCCCAGAGGATGATATGATGGCATTTATAGCATAGAGGACTCATCATGCACCAAAGAGGACTGAGGCCTCAGTGAAATCCCAAGATTTAAGATGGGTGAACACTGCCTGAAGTGTCTTGGATTCATCCATGTGTAGATTTGCCACCCCCAGGAATGTAAGAAATGGTTGTCTGTGGTTTATAAATTACCCAAAACAAGGTATTTCATTGGAGAGCAAAGAGGGGCAGCCTCATCCTCATGTCTACCTGAAGAACTTACCAACACACTGTCTTTGGAATCCTTGGCTTCTGGTGAGGGTCTTATTTTGAAGCTGTGATGAAACCGTAGTCCTTCAGGGCCCACAGATGTTCATCACATGCCCCAGGGTATCTATGAAACAGGATTTTGTTACAGCACCGCAGTGTTAGGGAAAGGCTACCTCCTTTAAGCCCATCACTCTTAAGCCTCAACAGAAAAGACTTGACCTTAAATGTAGGTCTGATAACTTTTGTGAAAGTCAAAGTTATTACAGAACTATAGGCCCGAAGTGAAACACCATTGAAGCGCCCCACACATTCATACTCTAACGAGTCAATCCCAGTGTTCACAACCTTGGGAAGTACAAAGCTTCCTGAGTCTGTCATTATCTGTCACTTTTATTATTATTAAGGTGGAAAGGATGCTTGATAGGGTTTGAATGTAGAATGTCCGTCTGTATTTGAATACTTGGTCTTCAGTAGGTGGAGCTGTTAGAACATTGTGGAACCCTGGGGGGGGGTGGGCCTAGCTCAGAGTTTTGGGTCCTTGGGGGAGTGGGAAGTTGCCACATGCTGTAGCCAGCTGCATCACACTCCTGATGTCCAAGTCATGAGCTGCTCCACTACTGTTATCTGTGTGTCCTCTGAAAATCTGAGTCCGAGTAAACCCTCCCCCTATAAAGTGATTCTTGCCAGAGCTTTGATCATAGCCATGAGAAACATTAGTATAGTGTAAAAAACAAAACTCCACTATTAGTTTTGCTAAGCCTTCATGTGATGTCACAAGAAGCCATTGTGAGGTATGTTAGATATCACACATACAAGACACTGCCAGAGCTGAATTTTGTTTTATACTGCAGAGAAACTGTTGGTGAGCAGTTGGACTGGGCTGTTTCTGATAGACTTTGTCTTTTCCAACCTGTTGGACCTTGACATTGTGAGTTTGTTTCCCAGTGTTTTAGCTTTGGCTTTGGGGCTTTTTATTAACTTTATAATATTGGTTTGGGTTATAATTTGTGCCTGCATTTTCTCCTTCTTCATTGTTACCTATTTTCTTTTTTAAAAACTCATTTCTTTGTCATGTTTTTGGTTTTGCTTTTTTTTCTCATATGTTTTTATTTAAATTAGAAACAAGCATGCTTCACATGTCAATCCCAGCTCCCTCTCCCACCCCTCCTCCCTTGTCCCTCCACCAGTCCTCCCCCCCAGACCCCCAACGACTCCCCAGGAAGGGTGAGGCCCTCCTTGGGAGGATCTCTAGAATCTGTCCTTTCATCCAGAGCAGGACCTAGGTCCTTCTCCATGTCTCCAGGCTGAAAGAGCATCCCTCCATGTGGAATGGGCTCCCAAAGTTCATTCGTATGCCATGGTAAACACTGATCTACTACCCAAGGTCCCAGAGATTTCTGAGGCCTCCTCACTGGCACTACATTCATGGAGTCTGGATCAGTCCCCTGTTGGCCTCTCAGCCATCAGTCTGGAGTTCAAGAGCTCCCCCTTATCTTGTCAGCTGTCTTTGTGGGTTTCACCAGCACGGTTTTGACCCCTTTGCTCATCACTCCTCCATCTCTGTCACTGGGTTCCAGGGGTTCAGCTCAGTGTTTAGCTGTGGGTATCTGCCTCTGCTTCCATCAGTCACTGGATGAAGGTACTAGGATGGCGTATAAGGTAGTCATCATCGGTTTTGCTTTTTTATTTCAAAGTGTTTGTTGGTTTGCCTTAGCAGTACACAGTAAGGATTTGCCATGATTTTCTTACCTGCTTATCCTACCTTTCATCATATTCACCTGTTTTCACCTCCCCGCTGATTCCGTGTGACGAATACTTCTCCTTTTGTGAAAGTTACCTCCTCCACTCCTGACACATACATAGTAGATAAAGCATGTTGTTTGTTTGTGTAACTGACTTGTTTCATGTCAACAATCTCCACTTCCATGCTTTCCCTTGAAAAATAACATTTCCTCCCTTTTGATGGTTGACTATGGGCTCTTCCCTTGATTCTGTTTATATGCTATGCTCCTGGCCAATTAATATAAGTGGAATTACCTTTGTTTTCCTGCGTGAACCATCCATGAATGAAGGTCTTTTTAATGTGTTGTTGAATTTGATGTGAAGTATGGAGGACTCTAAGGATTTTTCTCATCTGTGTTCATCAAAGACTTTGGCTTACACCTGTTGCTTTTTAAATTGTCACTTGTTTGAGGATAAGGGTAATACTTATTTTATAGTATGAGTCTGGAAGTGCCTTCCTTTTCTGTTTTAGGAGTGTGGCATCGTTGGTGTTCATTACTATGGCTGCAGAATTCATCAGTGAATTGTTCTCTGGTCACACTGCAAGGCTCTTTTGATCCGCCAGTGCTTTCATATCCCTTTGTACAGTTTTAATTTTAGACTTTTAAGCCTTCCTTTGATTGTTGATCTCCCCTTTACATGTTTTGTTTTGTAAGATGGGAGCAAGGGAGAGAAATCGAGTCAGCGAGGGACAGAGATAGCAGGATGGATCCTCCTCTTAGTCTACATGACAGGGTCCTTGTTTCTCTGAATAGGGGAGGCGTTGCTGGGTCCTAAAGGCTTCCTTGGAGGAGGGGGTGAGAAGGTGCGGTGTCAATAGTAGAGACACCGGGAGTCAGGTGAAAGGAAAAACAGCAATGGGTAGAACTTTACATACCCTCCTAGTACCCATGCGTTCTGATCCGTTGACATTGTGTGACCACCCCTCACTGGTTAGACACCATCAGGACACAGATTCCAGGTTGGCTCATCTCTCAGCCTTGTAGGCCTTATCTTCCTACAGAGGGTGACCTAGACAATGTGTGGCAAAAATCTGTTTTGGACACTGGACATGGTTGAGGTGAAGACTGGGCGGTAGCCCTCTCTGCAGAGGGCGTGTGTATTAGTTACTTTTCTGTTGCTGTGATAAAAGACCACGACCAAAGACAACCTAAGGAAGAAAGTTTATTTAGCATATTTTCCCAGAGGGATAAGAATCCATGATGGTGGAGCAGAAACATGGCAGCTAGCTGCAGCCGTGGAGGCAGGAGCGGGAAGCTGCAGGCTTCACATGTCCACCCTCAAGCAAGAAGCTGAGAGAGCAGACTGGAAGTAGATGAGGCTTTTCAGTGTAAAGGTTTCTTCCCCAACAGTGATGTTCCTCTCACAAAGCTGTATCGGCTAAACTTCTTCAGTCATCCCCGCACCACCTCCTGCTGTCCAAGTGCTCACATGCCCAAGACTGTGAGTGACATTTCTCATTCAAACCACTACAGCATGGCTGCCTAACACTGTCGCATGTGTTGAGCACCTGGTTTCCAGTAGTTTGCACTGTTCTGGGAAGTTGTGGAGCCCATGGGAGGTCGGGTTTATCTGGAGAAACTGTACCACTAGAGGATGGAGACCTGCCTATTTAGAGTCACCAGAACCTAACAACCCAGGTGCCCAAGCAAAAAGACACTCCCATTCCCATGAGCTCTGTGTCTCTTAAGAGCCTGTGGGAAGGCAAATAAAGCCTTCCTCCCTCTGGGTGCTTCTTGCCAGAGGTTTTACCACAGCCATAAAGAAAGTAACCATTACAGTGGTTGTGGGACATAAAGTGAGAAAAAGCACAGTGGGTTGTGCCAAGCCATGATTGGTCCATTTCTTGGGGTGACCTCAGAATGAGTCATTGTGAAGAATGCTAGGCACCAGTCCACATCAGGCACCACGTGGGCCTTGTCCTCATCCTGCAGAGACACTGATGTTTGGCTGCAGAACAGTTGGACTGTAGCATTGGCTCTGATGGACTTGGACATCTCCAAACTGCTGGCCCTTGACAGAGGGTTTGTTTCCCAGTTTGTTGATTTTGCCTTCTGGTTTTAGTTTTGATAGTTTTATTATTGGTTCTTGTTTTAAGGTTAATTTGTGCCTATTTGTTTTCTTTCTTCATTATTGTCTATTGATTTTTCTTATTTTAAAACATCTTTTAGTAAATATTACCCATAAGGAATTTCATTATAACATTTCCCCGTATGCCTATGCTGCCCTGTGATGACACCTCCTGCCTTGCCTCACTTCCCTCACTCACATCTGTGTGACTGATACTCCCCATTTTACTAGAGCCCACTCCCTGTGACCCATAGAAGACAAAAACAGAAATATTACACATTGATGGAGATGGCTTGTTTCATGTTCAACTTTTTCTAGATCCATCTACTTTCCTGGAAATGGCAACCGTTCATCCCTCATTGTGACTGAGTAAGGGACTCCACCCTAAGTCTGTTTATATGCTGTGCTGCTGGTCAATTTGTGTGTGTGTACTTATTCTTGTATTCCTGGGAGAAGCCATTTGGTAGTGAGGGGGGGATAGTGAGCTGTTGAATTGGATATGAAGTATCAAGTGCTCTCATTAATGAAATTCACATCTTTGCTCATCAATGAAATTAGCTTATGTTTTTTTGTCCTTATTTGGTTTTGGGAGCAGGGTAATACTAACTTTGTGTCTATCTCTCTTGGTTAATTTGGGTAAGGGTTTGCCAATTTTGTTTATCCTTGCAAATAACCACTTTTTTGAGTTTCCTATCTCTGTATTGTCCTTTGAGTATCCATTTCATTGATTCCATCTCTGCTGTTTGCTATGTTTTTTTCATTTACTTCATTGGAGTTTGAATTATTCTAATTTTCCTGTGACCTTGAGGTACATCATTAGGTTGTTTGGGGTAGCTCAGATTTAATGATGTAGAATTCATAGCTATAAACTTTTAACTTAGTTTATATTTGTTCTTAAATCGTGTGGTGCTACTGTTTCCTGCAATAAAGTGGTTGAGATGGAGGCAAGCCTCATGGCCAGCCCCATGAAGAGGGCATCCTTCAAAATGATTATACAATCTACTGTCCCTTGGCTGTAGAACATTCTGGGAGGTGAGGCTGGTGTGCCACATTCCCACACAAGTAACTGTTTAGGTCCTTGAGGAAAGCAAAACTGCTTGGGTGACATCACCTCTGAGGTAGACACATTAAATCACTGGAACATCATGAAATTCTTTCACATGGTTGATACACCATTAACCACTCATAGGATAATGGAGAAGAACCGGAGAGGTGCCTTAGGGCTGTATACAGGAGGCACTGCAAATTTTCCAACAGGTCATGTCAGTGGCTCACTTCCGCCACCAAAGACACATATCCCCAGGAATATCAAATTAGAAAACATCCTACTGGCTGTTGTAGGAAATGCAAAGATTTGCGACTTTGGCATGGGAACTAAACTCACAAGGGGTCAGATGTTGGGAAAGGTCTGTGGCTCCCTGCTCTATCTGGCCCAAGATAACTTGGAAAGAAAACTATGCTCACAGAAGCACTTTCCACACTTAGAAACAACTCTAACCAGCATGCACCAGCTCACCACCACTGCACTATATCATCTTCCCTGTCACTTGTCCAAAGTCAACCAAATTATTATCCCAAGATTACTCATGGTCCCTCCCACTTTGGTACTTGATAGTATGTCATCCCATGGAACACCCATAGCTGTGTCCCATTCAAGAATACGTGCCCCTTGTCTCTAAAACAATTCCCATCACCATGGAGACCATCTGTATGATTGGATATATTGCCTATAGGAAATCATGTCATCTGGAAAACACAGGTTACAAAATGAGGTCACAGCAACATTCAATATATTGAAGCATCAGTTGAGCTGTGGGGATAGCCCTTTTAAATATCAGGGCTACCCCTCTCCTTGAAGAAGAGAGTGAGTGAACCTGCCTTTCCAACCTTTGTATCACCTGGGACAAAGCACCTTTAGGAAGATGAGGAAGGAAGGAGGAAGGGCTGCAAAAGGCACACCATGCCTGACGCCCAGTACTACCTTGAGAAGATGCCCTGCCCAGATACCTCAGGCATGGAAGGTGATGCTGTGATCCTTGACACGAATGGCAGTATTCTGAGAAACATTCTGAGGGAGGTTGATGAGGCTGACTGATACTTTGCCTGATGAGCAGCCCCTACCAGAGTCAGTTCCAGGATGCAGCAATCACAGGGTTAAATGAAAAGAACACGGGCTTGTGCCCTGCAGAACCATCAACAGGGCCAGCCATGTCCAGTGACAGGTTGCATCTACTGGCTCTGGCTCCAAGTGCCTAGGGCAGGAAGGGGGTGAGGAATGGAATTACTTGAGTACTGAACACACTTCACTGCTACCTGCCCATCCATAGGTGAGCCATGAATACTTGCAGTAAGAACCTACACAGAGAGGAGAGGAGAGTGGAGCTCAGTAGTTTAGGGCACCAAAATGTACTTCTACATTGCATTTTAATACAATGTGATTTTTTAATGTCCCTTGCAAATGTCAGATTGGATCCACTGGTGTAGAAAACTTCAGATGTCTCTGTTTAAAAGGAACAAGCTCACAGTCTCCCTCTCATGTAGAACTTTGGATGTAGAACCAGTGTAGTTAGCAGAGCATGATGACTAGAGTATGAGAGAAAGGGAAGATGTGTAGCCAAGGGGACAAAGGTTCAGAAAGGGAGGGATCAGGTGGCACTGCAGGGTAGCTCAGTGCTAAGTCAATGTCACTAACAGGCCTTTTCATGTGTCTTCTTTGAAGTGGTGATGGAGAAAGGCCTGGTGTGGGTGGACCCCCACAGCAGGGAGCAGGCCAGACTCCAGGGTGCCGCGTGCCCACACACCTGGGGCACAGGCTCCCACAGCCGTCCTCCAGCCCCTGGGTCTTTGTGCCAGCTCCCTGCTTGCTCAGCCGCAGCAGCAGCACTGCTTGCTACACAGATAGGCGGTGTCATGTGACATCTAGCTGATGAGAGTCTACCTCCTGCAAAACACTACTCCTGGAACAAGACTGACTGACACAGGTCTGGGCTTCTCACCAGCTTAGCCCCTTCATCCCCTCAGTCTTCTCTCTCACTAACTCCTTTGGGACAGAAGTAGAGAATATGTGGAGGTCCAGTCAGAGGGGCGACGTGGAAGGAGGGAGATGAAGGAGTAGACAAGGAGGGGGAGTTGAAGGGAATTGGAGGAGTAGAGCCTGTCCAGAGGAAACTCCTGCCACAGAGGTGAGGAGAAAGGGATGAGTGTTGAACTGAGGCAGAATGTGGAAAAAGGAGCAAACCTCTCCCGAAGAGTGGAGTTGGAGGGTGCAGGCCATGGCCCACCATGAGAAGAGGCCCTGACTGGAGAGTCCTGGCATGTGCAAGTATGATGCTGGCTTGGAAATCTGCTCCTGTCTTAGGTTGCCAAGGCAGGGTATGACGGGAGAGAAGGGAAGCCCCATCCATCAGTGGAGATCCATTATCTTCCTGTGTGCTCTGGCATTGGGCTGATCTGTCAACATCTCTTTGTCTTCACAGCCTCCTCTGCAGGCCTTCCATTATGTTTGTCCCTTCCCGCCCCAGGGTACCACAAACACGATTCCTCCACATTGATGCTACTCCCCTTTGAGATTGCCTTAGTTCACTGTGCCAAGGTAGGTAGGCCTTTTCAGGCCTAGGACTGAGCACAGTCTCCACAGGCACGCAACCATGGCACTACTTCGTACCCAGTGCCAACCTTAGGGGTCAGGGTTAGGAAGAAACCTTGGTTGCCATGGAGCCCCAGATGGCGGCCAGCAGTGCAGTGTGGCCCCCTGCTGATGTGTATCTTCAGAGTTCTCCTGGGCAGCTTCCTGGTAGGGAGTAGACAAAGAGGGGCTCATCTGAGGGGATCATGCTCTTGAAGGTAATTTTGAGTCCACTGAGTGTCTGCTTGTAGTAAAAGATGAGTTTCTGAAACCTGGTCTTGGCATAGCACTAGTCCAAGTGTGTAAAAGGGAATGGTGGTTTCTGCAGGCCTTCCCCATCTGGAGGGAAAGGTGCCATCAGCCTTTGAGGTTTGGTGAGAGAAGAACCATTTGATCTGTCAGCAGGTTTTCCACTCTGGCCCTCTGGTCCAGACTTTTGCTTTTTGTTTTGTTTTGATATCAGGATATTTTGACGGGTATGACCAAATCATGTTCCCAGCAATGTGGCATATTATGCTGCCTCATCACTGCCCAGCCATTGTGTGGCATCATACTTTACAACCCTGACAATGTAGTGAGTCCCACTTGACCCCACAAGGGAAACAGGGCCAGAGGCATGGAGCATCCTGCTTAGGGGATCAGAGCAAGTTTAGGTGTGGGTGTTCACAGGGACAGGTCTTTGCTTCTGCTTCAGATTAGGGAGGTGGATTGTGTTGCCTTCTTGGGAATGAGTTAAGAAATTCAATCACCAGGTGGTCATGAGAGAGAGAGAGAGAGAAAGAGAGAGAGAGAGAGAGAGAGGAGAGAGAGGAGACATAGAGAGGGAGGGAGGGAGGAAGGAGAGAGAGAGAGAGAGAGGAGAAAAGGATGGGGAGCGGGATAAAGTCTGTCTGTGTCTGTTTGTTGTCTGTGGTTTCTGAGGTACTCCAGGAAGGTTGGGTTGCCTTTTATAGCATGTCCATGTCCATGCTTCCCTATATTTAAGGTGGCCAGGAGCCATTTACTGCAGCAGAATGTGGACTTTGAGTTTGTGACCATCAGACCTTCACACTTGGTCTCCTTCTCCCTTGTCTTGTAGGGAGATTGGCGCAGCTCTGAACACACTTTTTGTGATGGCTGATTGGTGGCCACCTTGTGGTCATAGTAAGTGAAGACAGCCAGGTCTCTAGTAATGAAGCCCAGCCCACAGCAACAAGTATCCCATTGGAGGGGGCATTGTCAGGGCAGACACAGGTATGCACGTGACACTAACTTCCCTGAACATTGTCCACTCATGGCTTTGGCTTTCTTCTAGAGACCAGAGATTTGGGTGAGGAAGGGGTCCTTGAACTCAGCACCTTAACCAATTGCTTGTTTGTACTTCCTATGCCCAGTGGTAGGGTCAATGCATTTCCCAGCCACCTCTGGGTATCAGGGTGTTCAGATCACAGTTCTACTGCAGCCCACAGACTTCTCCAGATGGTCTCTACTAGATACTACAAGCCCACCCTGAAGATGGAGGCCCTGCTTGGTGTCCCTACCCAGGGTAAGTCACAAAGGAAGGAGACAGGCTTTGTACCTGCCTCTCTGTAGTCTCTGTCATCAATGACAATGAACTTTCTCTTCTTTGTAGAGACCACATCCTCAGTCCAGGGGAACATGGGACTTTGTGTCAGGCTCTCCACTTGTCTGGAATGTTCTTTCTCTCTCATACATGCTTGGCCACATCTTATGCTTGTAGACAGGGCCACCTCGATATAGCAGCCTGAATTTCTGAGGCCCTTTGTCAGCAATGATGCAGTGTGTCATTGGAACTTCACATGTGTGGGTCCTGGGGTTCGGTAAGACATCCAGGCCTTCAGGGTCCTACAGGACAGTAACCTGCTGTGGGTGGTGACAACACCAGTTCCTGATTAAACCTCACCCTCTTTCTCCAAATATGTTGCACCCTGGAGAACATGGGACTTTGTGTCAGGCTATCCATTTGCCTGGAATACTCCCCCCCACCATTTTTTTTATAGCTACTTGGCCAAAACTGGCTACCTGTAGCCAGAGCTGCCCCCACCTAGCAGCCTGCACTCTGGCCCTGTTAGCATGATAGGACAGATGGTCAGCATGGTCCTCTTACTGAGGGACTTGACATTTGGGTTCCTGGGACTTACAAGCCAGAGACATGCTGTGGATGCTGACAAAACTACAACACCAGTTCCTAATGGGGCCTGTACCTTCTTCCACTGTATCTTCCCCAGTCTTGGGAGAGTATTTCCTGAAAGCATCACTGTGGGGGCTGAATGTTGTGGATGCTCCCCTTGGACTCTGCCTGCATTATCCCAGACTGGAAACACCCTCCATGTCTCTCATCCTATGCAGATGCCCCAGAAAACCTCCCTGGAAAAGCTGAGACTTGTCCCTTCATGAGCAGCGCCAGATGATGTCAGAAGCCTCTAGAATTTGATTTTCTTTCTTGTGGTGCCGCTCTCCTGGAGATGCCAAATCGGGCTCTCAAAACCCAAATAGTGAGTTTAATGTCATCGTTGCCTAAGATGTTAGTTTGTGCTAGATAATGGGACCGAATCTCAGAAAAAGGACATGAACAAAACACAACTCCCCATGAGACCGAACACACAAAACCACCAGTGACCAAGATGTAGGTGACACTGAAACTTTAACCACTGTGGCAGCCAGGCAGCCATGCCTTGCCATAGCCCTTTAGGCAAGTGGCTCAAACAGGTGAGAAATTCACTCTCAGTGATTTCCAGCCCTTTCATCTTTCAGAAATAAAATTTCCTATGTGTGATAATTTATTTCAACCTTTAGTAGTCTTGATTTCTTGATTTTGTTCAGGGTCATTCTAGTGAAAGGTTCCTTTCTCTTCTCGTTAGATGTGTCTGCCAAGTGTGTCCGTTAGGGAATATCCTCATCCAGAATTCATAATTACCTTCAGAGCCTCCAGGAAGGAGTCAACATGTCTTTGACCCTGATTTGGATGGGCAGAAGGATGATGGAATTGAGTTCAAAATACACAAAGGGCAAGGTTCTGCGGTCTCTGGTTAAAGGGATAGGCAAGGTTCAGTCGTTATGGAGAAGGCTGTACCCATTTCTGTTGAATCAATACACCATGGCAGCAAGAGGAAATGACCCATCTGCAGATAATACATGCAGATGGGCCATGCTCTTCCTCAGGATTGGAAAGTGGCCTCACAGTGGGTAGATGGCCTTCTGAAATGAGCTCCAGTTCCAGGTATACCAGAAACCAGTGATATTCTAGTCAGCCCACAGTCCATGCAAGTCCAGACACAAGAAATTTGTCATCATAATACTATATTTTTTTCTGGTGGTTTTATAAGTGCCTTTAGGAAATATGTTTTCTTATTTGTACACCTCAGAAATTACCAAGTATTTTAAAGTTAAAATAGAAAACTAGCACATATTTTCTTGCACTGCTGTGTTTTTGTTTCATATGAAACTATTCTGATCTTTACACATTAACTATGAAACACTAAAATGGATAATGAAAGCTTCATGGATAACTTGTGAGCCCATGTATATGTGTGTGTTAGAGTGTGGACACAAGCTTATATTTGAGTGACTGTGGGAACATGAGTGTGCTTGTGACTAGGGTCTGTCCTTCCCAGCAGCATTCCTAAAGGGCTGTGTGTGTACCACTCACACTAGCCTTGGCCACCCCACACCAACCGTCAAAATGATTCCCAATAGACATGGCCACAGGCCCATCTGGTTCAGGTCATCCCTCGTCTGCGATTCCTTCTTCCCAGGTGACTCTTTGGTTGTATCAAGTTGACAAAGTGTCAACAGGCAGCAAAGGTCACCTGCAACTCCCAAAGCTCAGAAAGACAGGATAGAGCCTTCTTGATGCCTCTGAAGGGACCAGTCCTAGTAAGAATAAGAAGGTCAGGCTCCCCACGCCCAGCTGAAGCTCTAGTATTCTGATGACAGTCCTGGGCAGGTTTCTTTTTGTTTTGTGTGTGTGTGTTTGTGTGTGTTGTTCATCCTGGGTCATCTGCTGGTGGTAGGAAGCACAAAGGCCCAAATCACACTCAGACCGGTGACCAGGGCACTTAGACATGGCCTTCTAGAGAATTCCACACTTGACAGCCAGCCTATGACAGTGCCAAGAGACTAACAATCATGGTGTACCTTCTGTAAATTAAGAAACTAGAATTTGGGGGTGGTGCTTGGGAGATGCCTTAGTTGGTAAAGTGCTTGCTGGAAATTCGTGAAGACCCAAAGTTCTGGTCCTGGCACCCACATACAAAGTCAGGTGCACTAGCACCCAGTGATCAGTCCTCCCCTGGAAAGAAACAGAAAGGAGTCTAGCTGAACTGATGAGCTCCAGGATTGGTGGGATACATTTCTTGAAAACCAAGGTGGAAGGCCACAGAAGTGTGGTATTTGAGGTTGGCCTCTGGCCTTCATGAGCAGCTCAACTGAGCATAAAAGTACGTGTCATGTGTGTGTGCGGGCACGCGCGCGCGCACACACACACACACACACACAGTTGGGGGAGACAGAGAGACTAGGAACTGGTCAAGGGTGACTCTGTGGGTACAGTGCCCCAGATTTTGCCACCCAACTCAACCTGGAGTCCATGTTCTCAGAGTGATGCATACAGGCTGCGTCTGGTTGGACTCCAAATCCTATTTTCCCTAAAATTGATAACCTAGGTTTAAGTGTATTGATGTGTTGAAAAGTTTGACATCCCGGTGGTACCTGAATCTTTTGCTAACAAAGACCCCAGCAGACTCCCTTGATCTTTGGTAAACCTCGCAGGGAGTTTGCTAATGTAGCTAGGGCTGGTTGTGGGGATTCCATGTAAATGCCAAAGTGACAGCTGTCTAGGGTAAGCCACAGTAGTATAGCTTCAAGAACATGCAAGATACTCCTTCAACCGCAGTCCTCCAAGTTGCTGGTGTCACATATGTGCATGACTGTGAGCCAATACTAATGAGTAACAATTCTTGCTACATTAGTGATGTTGATCGTGGAGAAAACAAATATCCTCACTTTGACTTTCTATTTTTAATATATTACGCGAAAATGACCTTAAAACTGATGTCCCTGCATCATCCTACTAATAGCACTCTCTTTTATAATTGTCATGTGTCAGTTGAACCTGAAGGATTTGCTCAGGCAGAGGGCATGGCTAGTGAGCAGCTTTAGTTTGTGCGCAGTCAGGTCAGGGCTGAGCACGCTTCCAACACTGTTGAAATGTCAACCTCAATGTAAGAGTGCTAGGAGGCGAGGCCTCTTGACAAGGCCTTGGCATCCGTGTTGTCATGAGAAGACACTGCACTGAGAACACTGCACTGAGAAAAGAGTTTGAAGAACTTAGTTCAGTCCTATGCAAGATCACAACAATACCAGGTAGAAAGAAAAAGCAGCTCCCTTTCCACCCAATATATCTTGGTAGCTTGATCTTGACTCAACCAAGAAATGTTTTTATAAATGATCCAAAACAAGGCATTTTGTTGGACAGCATGGTGGCATAGCATCATTTCCTGTGAACAAAAAATACCTGTCTGTAGTAATCTGGACTGACAAGATTTTCAGGATAATTTATCCATCAACCACTGTCTTTTGAGTGGGTTACTTACTGATGAGAGATCTGATAAGGGTCTTAGGGTGTAGTTGTGACACTGATGTTCCTCGCATGCCCTGGGTGTATTGGAAACAGAGCCTCAGGGTCAGTGAGGGGCTACTTTAAAACTCATCACTCTGTTTAAAGCAAGAGGAACAGAATACCCTAAGTGCAGAGATGAGATCTGTAAAGGCCAAGTCTTGGTTTAGAATTTTATGGCCTTCAGTCGTAAGGCCACCGAAGCATACTACATCCATTTCCAAACTAAAAAATGCCAGAGTCAATAATTCAGGAGACTGCCGTTATCATTGTTACCATTGCTTATTATTTTTAAGAAGAAAGTCATGGATTGAATGTGAAATGTCTTGTACTGTCACATGTTTGAAACCTTGGTCCCTTAGGCAGCACAGGTTTTGAGAAGTTAGGGAACCCTTGGATGTGTGTCATGGCTGGAAGTAACGGAAGTTAGAAGACCTGGTGAAACCTGTTTCCTCACACGCTGTTGCCAGTGCCAGCTGCTGAGCCCACCTCATGCTGAGCCAGGCCCTCTGAAAACATGACACAAAATCACCTCTGCCTCTATCAAGGTGCTTCATGTAGTGGATCTGGAAGGAGCCAGGAGGAATGAACTTGGAAGCAATAATGGGTTTTGGCTACCTCTAATTGGTCCATGGCTCCCATGACCTCACAAGGAGCCATTGTGAAAATGATAGCTGCCCACCCATGTAAGGCACCGCCTGGGCTTGGGCATTGGCAATGAAGCTCTTGGTTGGCTGAGGACATTTGGACTCAGACTTGCCTTGAGAGCTGTGGTTTCTATTGTCCGTCTTTGGGACTGACGTCAGTGATCCACACTGACCTCAACATAGTGAGTTTGCTTCCTGGGGGCTTGGTTTTGTTTTCTGGATATTGTATAGCTTTTGGTTTGAGGTTTGCATTGTGCTTCTGCTTCAATTTTTTTCATGACCACCCATATTTCTATGTTTAATTATCCAGTTTTCTTTGACATTCTTTACTTTGGTTTATTTCTTCTAAAACTTTTGTCAACATATATTAAGTATGAAAATGGGTATTATGGTGAATAGGGTTTCATTATGGTGTGCATCACCTACTCCATGCTGCTTCCCCCAGTCTTTCTGTTAACTCAAAAATTAATCACAAGCTAAGTCTTCCCTTCCCACCACATCACAAAATATAGTCTAGGACATCTTGAGGGACAGCACATTTCCTTACAGCATCAGTGTCAGGGAGGGCCACAATCCTTCTGATGCCCATAAATATGAGTTTACGAAATGGACTTCAGTGTCATAAGGGTAAAGATGATGAGGTTTGCAGTAGTCGGAGTCAGAGAATTTTAGGGTACAAATGAAAAGGCTATTGAGGCAGTCAGTAAGATCACTAACTAGGCAATACCTATGTCTCCAGTCCAGGGAAGCACCAAACTAAGTCTGTCTTCATTGTTACCACTGCTTTTATTATAATCAAAGTCAAAGCATCCTCTATCATCTCTAGGGCTTGAATGTGAAAGGGCTCACACCATCTGTTGTTAAACTCCCTTCCCTAAGAAATGTCCGCATCATCTCTACCCCTCATCCTGATGTCCCAACAATAAACCAAGGCAGAATCCCATCAAAGTTCACTCTGGACAACCAATGAATTTATTGAGCTTTCTTACAGAGCCTATGTCGGGGATGCCTTATCGGGGTGTGGGCACTACTCCCCACAGCCAGTCCACACCTGGAAAGCCAAAGCCTTACCCAGTACTAATCAAGGCTTTCCCCACAGTTGCCAAGATGGTGTCCCGGCTCTCCTCTTCCCAGTTCTTATATCTGTTAGCTTCTCTCCCATGCATCTTGTTAGGTGGTAGGGAGCAGATGGATACTTGAGGAACATCTGTTGAGGTACGGCCTCAACCAGCCCCCACTGGGAAGATCTTTTGCGTGCAGACTCAGATGAACTCCTTAAGATAGTGTTTGCCTGTCTGTCACCCATGGTATGGTCCACCCCATCCTCTGGCTCTTACACTCTTTCCGCCCCCTCTTCCGCGATGGTCCCTGAGCCTGGGAGGGGGTGGCACAGATGTGTGACGATGTTTCTCCCACTCCTCAGAGAGAACACGTCCTCATGACTTTCTGTTCATCTGTCCATCTCCAGAATGTCACAGTTGGTGAGTCTTGTGAGCAGTTTCTTCTACTATAAGACACAAGTGAGAGAAACAACAAAAACCAGGAAATGGAAAACAATCCCAACAGACACAAACTATAAATACTTATGTAGGGAAGCACTTGGGCTGGTATGTTGTTAAGCTCATCAATAGCAGTTGCGTTTCCACTGGAGCCTGTGGCTTCCCTTACCACAGTTTTTTCTCTATTTCCCCCTGTAAAGCAAGCCTTAATTCCAATCACAAGTTGCTTCTATCCATCACCTGGCACTTACATCATGATACATGCAGAATCCACAATGGGTGGGACTTTGGGTCTTAATTCTCCTCAGCATTCTTAGCAACTTCAGGCACTACAGGAGCTAGCTCACTGGAATGGAACACTTGAGTTCCAGTCCTAGATTTGTTTCTCCAAGTCTGGAATCCATATCATGCAACCTCTTCAACAGTAGGGTCTTATTACTCAGTTCTGGAATTAAACCAACTGTGGCAATAGTCTTCATTGCTTTTGGAGCCTCTGGGGCCTCTTTGACCAACAATTCCTAGGGAGGTAACTCATTCCTAGCACTGCGATTCCCAACTAACCATCTTCTAGGTAATTCCCAATTAACCATCTTTTAGGCAATTTCCAACTAACCACCTTCTCATTTACCAGCTTCTAGGATCATCAATTTTCACCTTTGGATACTTACAGGCTCAGGCGATTTCAGACATTCCCTAAACATGTTGGCTGTATCATTTGTGCCTTACCCAACCATAAAGCTCTCAAGAATTCCACAGAAGCCTGGCTTTTACATTCTTTGTGAAGTTCCCATTCTGGCTTCATCAGGAGTGCTTGGATGTCAAATGTCTCTTAAATGAGTCTCCAAATCTGTAAGACCCTCAAGGGTTAGAGTTATGCTACACACATGTAACAAAGCCTTTATATAGAGGATGGACAGGACAATGAATGATACAAAGTCCAGAGCTACCATCTCATGCTGAACAGTGGGACTGTGAGACAGAAATCTTGAAGTACTTTGAAAGTTCATTGTCATCTGTTCAAAGCAAGTGTCAGGCAACTGCAGAAGGTCACAACTGAGGAGATACTGGAGTAAATCACAAGCAAGGTGTAACAGCATGAGACCTGTCCATGAGTGTCAGCTGTTTTCTCCACGTGCTGGGTATAGCAGCATGGACAGACAGCGCTAACTGTTAGCTTTCCACAGCCCTCAGCCCTTCTCAGAGCCATTCCACTTCCATACCCTGGAGGGCTTCCACGGAGCCTCCCCGCACCCCCAACCCCTGAGAAGCTTGATGGGACTGGTTCCTGCCGTTCATCCCTGCTCAGGGTAAGGGTGACTGAGGTCCCTCCCTCTCCTGCTGCTGGGACTGGTTCCCTGTGTTAGAGAATCAGGGTTGGAGCTGCAGCTGTGACCTCTATCTACCACACCTGTTTGCTGGTCCCAAGCCCTAGCACAGCCTTTGCGAGACAAAGGTCCCCTGCTTAGTCTGGATGTGTAGCTGTCCACCCCTTGTCCAGACTCGATCATCTGCACCTGTACTGTTTTATCATGGAGACCTTTGTAAACTGTCTTTGGGGTGTTAAAGTCTTCTAGGAGCTAATCAGCACAGAATTTGACTTTTTGCCAAATTTTTCCCTCGAACTCAAGTGCATCACAAATTTTGCCACTTTTGTCTTCAAGTAACACAGACAGCCACCCTCCCCCTCCGCATTGCCTGTCTCTCATCTCTAGGCTGATCTTGTATTTTACGGACACTCTTTACATGTTCATCTATGTCACTTGGCTCCCCCAAACCTTCCTACTTCATAAAGATCCTGCTCCACCAAAGGGTCGGCAAGTCATTCAAAACTGGCCCCATGGCAGGCCCATTCCTTGATAAACCCAGTTCCTCCTCAAGTCTCTCATGAGCACCATCCATCAGGCCCTGTGACCTGGGAACAGTACATCACTTCCTTAGTTCCCTCTTCTGTGGTCCTCCAGGGCCTGACACCCATGACCTCCACTGCTGTGACCACACAGCTGTAATGGCTCCTACAAGCCAGTCCGTCTGGCTTCCCTTGATCTGCCGCAGGCTGTGCAGCCCATCTCAAAGGTGGTTATGTTGCCCAGCTTCACTGCTTCCACACTGATGCCCGTCTGTCCTCGTACTCCATAGCCTCGAAAGCCAGACTGTAAAAGATGAAGCTTCCCCTGCTTCCAGCAATTCCAGTGGTGAATACTCTTTGATTGGCTCTCTTACTCCTGACTCTTGGTATGACCCCAGTCTGCCTGGTGGGTCATGGATTTCTCCTTTCTCCCTTGGTAGCTTTTCTCACTTCTATGTCACCCTCTTCCTCATTGTTACCCAAGTCTTCCCATGAGTTCCAGGTTTTAGGGTCCCCAAAGTGGCTCTGTATTACTTGTCAAATCTGGGTCCTCTTCCCCTTTCCACCCCTAGCTATAAAAAGATGGCAGTCTAATACCTTCATTTATCTGGCTGTTTTACCCAATTTTCCTACTAAGTCAGAGGCCAATGAGGAAGCCACCATCAGCCTCACTCCCTTTTCTTACTGCAGTCCCCCACCTGCAGCCTCTTTCCCTCCAGGCCGCCACCCCAACCTTCTTCTTAGCCATAGCAGAGACAGGGCTGCCTCTGAGGCTGCTTGCCAACACCTCCACCTCTGGTACACTGTCCCAGGCCTTGCGATGTCTGCTGCACGTCTTCAGGCATTCTCAAAGCATTTCTGTACTTTCAGCATGGATCTTACCCACCAAGCAGGAACGCCACTCTGTACTGCCTGAAAGAAGACTGCAATCCTGAGATTCCCACCAGCATGTCCTACCCAGGTGGCCTTATATTAGCTATATCTTCATTCCTCTCTGCACTGTCCATGCCCCTGTTACTACTCCCATAAGCCCTTTAGAGACAAACCACCATATCAAAATTTTCTCTGCAAACACCTGCCCCTCACGAAACTTTGAGTCCTATGTTTGTTTCATTCTCCCTATTGGGAATAACAGTACTCTTCCAAACTCATCTTCAATGCTATAAGCTAGTGACTCTGCACAGTGTCACCAAAATTCCTTCTCTGGGGAAGATATAAAATGAATGTCTACCCCTGCTGTCTGTTTCCATGACAAGCCTCTGCATCATTCCACAGTGAATTAATAAGTTTGCTTAAGAGCCTAAGTGAGGGCGGCGGGGGGGGGGGCTTCAACCATACTCCCCAGTATGATGATCTGCAATGGTCACAGGTGAACCAGGTGAACTCCCCAAGATGGTGGTTGCTTCATTTGGGGCACAGTCACTCAGGATCCCATCTCATGTGTTTGGATGCTCAGTGTCTAGCAGGTGTGCTGTCTTGGAAGGTAGTGAAACCCATTGGTGGAAGAATCTACCAGGAGGACCTGGTTCATTAAATGGGTGGAGGAGGCCTTGCCAAAGCCATGAAACCAGCTACCATTTTCCCATGCCACCAGTTCCTCCCGGGACAATGCCTCCCCTAACCCTGAAAATGTAAGCCATATTAGCTCCTTCCTCCCTTAAATTCCTCCTTGTCGGGGATGTGGTCACAGCCAGAAGAAAAGTAACTAATGTAGTCCTTGGGTACAGATAAACCGCTTTAGGTTATTCCCAGCTGTTACTGGAACATTCACTAGAGTGATGATATACATGTATTGGTATAAGGCATTGGCTCAGACAGGATTTTTGTCCTCATACTGCAGAAAAGCTATTGGATGGATAGCAGCTGGACTCCAGAATTGGTTATGACAGACTTGGACTGTTCCAATCTCTTGTACCTAGACATGGGGATTTCCTCTTTGTTGGTTGGGGTTTGAGTGGGTTTTTGTTTTTCATAATGCACCCACTTGTTTTTGCTTTAGATTTTCATATGGGCTTGTGTGTTCATTTGTCTTAATTGTTCCTTTAAAAATAATTTGTCATGTTTAACTTTGGTTTCATTTTTTATTTTAAGTCTCAACCGCAAACTAAAGGATTCCCTGTGACACTTCCATACATGCATATAGTGAACTTGGATCTTTTTCCTCTGTTCTGTTACATTGCAGCAGCCCCTTTGCATGTGCCAAAATGTCCCCCCTACCTTTTATTAAGGTTCCACCTACCTACCCATAGCACTAGTTAGACTAACCGTATCTCTGGAGCTGACATGTTGTAGCCAAAAAAAATTCCAATGTTCATGTATATTCCAGAAGATGACAAAAAGCCATTCTTTGTGGCCGAGCACGGACCGCTTCCCATCGATCTGTGTATGCTTGTTACTGAGCACGTTGTGTATGGGATTATCCTAGGATTCTATACTGAACCCACCATGAACACGAAGCACTCTGTGTGACCAACCAAGGATCTCCAAACAGATAGTGTTAGGTTGTTGTTAGGAGAGACAGCACTACTATTTCCATCTTGTCCCTTGTCTCAATATCTTTAAGGGTTCTGTAAGATTCTGAGTTTGTCATCACACTGATTCAGGGAGTAGCATCAGGAAGACAGCAGGCATTGCATGTTTGATAACATCTTAGGTCAGCATTGGTGTGGATGACGTGAGTTTAGCAGTCTAACCATTTCAAATGTCCCCAAGGGATCCACTAGACATCACCTTTTTTGGCTGTCGTTTTACTTTATGTCTTCTCTCTCTGGGTGACTCAGGTCAAGGGTTTGTCGGGTTTGTCAGTTTTGTTCATCCTTTCAAATCCCCAGCTCTGTTTCTTTGGTCTCCTTGTTTCTTCCTCTTAGTGTCCACTTATTTCTAGCTCTGGTCTTTCTTATGCTTTGTCTAGTGCTTGGGGGTTTGGTTTTTTTCTCTGACCCCAAAAATGTATCATTAGAATGCTTGACACATCTATGACTTTCATGATACAGGAATTGATAGCCATCAGCCGTACACTTGCTCTTGAGACTTGCTTTTTCTTTAACTTCTAGTATCATGTGGTGGTACCATTTCCACATCCCTGAAGGGTCTCAGGGACAACTCCTCAGATAAGGACATCCTCAGAGACAGCTATACAAGTTCTTAACAACACTGGCATCT